GTGACTTGACTTGGACTTTTACACCAATGACCTGGGACTTGAATTGGACTTGAACCGGTTTACTTGAAAAGACTTGATATTTCACCCCAAATCTAAAATTTAACACACATATTATATAGAAAGTGTGCACCATTAATTCAATTCATTCATTCATTTATTCCAACCACACTCCGTACGTATGTGTGCGTGAGCTGTAGCACAGCCAATCAAATTAACCAGATTTTTTTTTAAGAAGAAAAAAAAACGCTCAAAAATGCTGCAAGGAGTTATTTTTTTCAGGTACATAAACTATGAAGTAGTCAACAAAAAACCGAAATGCAATATGCAAAACATGCAAGCAGAGAATCACAGACAGAGATGGAACAACTTCCAGCAGTTGGAGTTGCATAAAGAACGGTAGGCGGTGCTTCAGACTTCATCTAACTAGCAAATGTTGTCCAGGCTACGTTGGTGATGCAGTTTTTTTTAATGTGTATGATATTTTTGTCATGCGATTTTAAAGCCGGTCCTACAACCGCATCCAAGAATAACATGCAGCTTATCTCAGAACTGTCGGTGAAAATTATTCTTGGAGCTAGGTTTAATTGAGCTGCATTTTAAAGAGGTGCAATTTCACAATTTGTGTATATTTTCTAAGTTCACTATTTTGTCATGTGTTGAGAAAAACACAGATTTAAAAATTACATGGTCTAATATTTACATTTAGCATAACTGCAACATGCTTTTTTCGTTTTTTTTTTAAGACTCGAAAGGACTTGAAATTCAAAGTTTCAGACTTGTGACTTTACTCGGACTTTTACACCAGTGACTTGAGACTCGACTCTGACTTGAGGATAAAGACTTGAGACTTACTTGAGACTTGCAAAACAATGACTTGGTCCCACCTCTGCACTGTTGCCCCACAGCCTGATGTTCCTGATGCAACTCAGCATTCTTTCTCCTCCAAACACAACAATTAGACTTTTTACCAAAAAGATCTATTTTGGCTTCATCTGAACATATGACATTCTCTTTCTAGCAAACTTCAGACGTGCCTGGGCGTGCACCGGCTTAATCAGAGCGACACGTCTGGCACTGCAGGATTTGGGTCCCTGGCGGCTTCGTTAGCCTTTGTTACTTTGGTCCCAGCTCTCTGCAGGTCATTCACTCGGCTCGCCCCGCGTGGTTCTGGGATCTTTGCTCACCGTTCATGTGATCGACCCCACGGGGTGAGAGCTTCCATGGAGCCCCAGGATCGAGGAGATTATCACTGGTCTTGCTCCCACAGTTGATTTCTTCACACCAAGCTGCTTGCCTATTGCAGATTCAGTCTTCCCAGCCCGCTGCAGGTCTACAATTTTGTTTCTGGTGTCCTTTGACAGCTCTTTGGTCTTGGACATAGTGGAGTTTGGAGTGTGACTGTTTGAGGTTGTGGACATGTGTCTTTTATCCTGATAACGAGCAAAAACAGGTGCTATTAATACAGGTAACAAGAGGAGGACAGAGGAGCCTCTTACAGAAGAAGTTACAGGTCTGTGAGAGCCAGAAATCTTGCTTGTTTGTAGGCGACCAAATACTTATTTTCCACCATAATTTGCAAATAAATTCTTTAAAAATGAAATTTTATTTTGTCTCTCATATCCTGGAACACCACCAAGCCATTGGTTCAGATATGTGGATGACACCTGGGTGACAATCAAATCTCAGGACGTTCCACATGTCACGGATCACATTAACTCGGTGGACCGACACATCAAATTCACCAGGGAGGATATGAACAGGGGCAGGTTAGCCTTCTTAGACTGTGAGATTTCCATCAGTAGTGGGGGACATCTACAAGCTGACGTGTACCGTAAACCTACACATACTGATCAGTATCTAAGGTTTGACTCTCATCATCCACTGGAGCTCAAACTGGGCGTCATCAGGACGCTACAACACAGAGCGAACACCATCCCCACTGACACAGCAGCCAGGGAGGCAGAAGAACATCAAGAAGGCCCTGAGTAACTGTGGTTATCCCAGCTGGACTTTTGTCAAAGCTGGGAAGGCTCCTAAAGAAAGCTCCAGCTGATCCAGGAGAGAAGGACAACCACTGTTAATGATCCAGGCACTGACCTCACAGCCCATGGTTCATTCAGTTGTGCTAGTTTCAGTTATTATGCAAATGTCCTGTTTATAAATTTTTATCATCATCCAGGTGACTTCTTAAGCCGAGGCTGAAGAAGTCACCTGGATGATGATAAAATGTTTCTGCCACTGACAACACAACGTCCAGATGAACAGAATCAACTTTTTGGGATAGAGTGCTCCCAGCTTTCTGTCGAATGGCCTTCATTGCTTGGAGAATCGAGGAGAGCATCCGGCAGGCTCTACGGGATGATAATAATAATGGATTGGATTTATATAGCGCTTTTCAAGGCACCGAAAGCGCTTTACAATGCCACTATTCATTCACACACACATTCACACACTGGTGGAGGCAGCTACAGGTGTAGCCACAGCTGCCCTGGGGCAGGCTGACAGAAGCCAGGCTGCCATATCGTGCCATCGGCCCCTCTGGCCAACACCAGCAGGCGGTAGGTGAAGTGTCTTGCCCAAGGACACAACGACCAGGACAGAGAGCCCGGGGATCGAACCGGCGACCTTCCGGTTACAGATGCGCTCCCCTAACCCTGACCTCCTCCAACCTCCAGATCGCCGTTTTGTTCCCACGTTCGGGCTCACATATCTAAATTCTCCTGTCACCACAGAGCAGGTTGAACCATCGCCTTACCGAAGCGCCACTTCTGGTGGGAAACGTGCGCGGGAGTACGTCTCCGCCTGCGAGACCTGCACCAGGAGCAAAACCAGACAACTGCAGCCATTAGCCATACCTTCTTGCACTTGGTCACACATCTGTCTGGACTTCGTCACCAGTTTGCTCATCTCGGCAGGTAAATCCGTAATTCTCTCTGTAATTGATAGATTCTCCAAAGCCACTGACTTTATAGCCTTGGACAAACTCCCCACAGCTACTGAAACCGCTAAACTTCTGGTCGCTTCATCTTCAAGCGCCACAAAAGCTCAATCCGAGATCACCTCCAGCAGAGGACCCCAGTTCACATCACAGGGTTGGAAGTCATTTTGCTCTTTAGGGGACCAGGTCAGCCTCAGTTCTGGGTACCACCCTCAGACCAACGGAAAGACTTCTTAGGTTCTTAGCTTTTGTGTTCTCATGTTTATCGCAGGTTTAGTTCAGTGTGTGTTCTGTCTCTCTGTGTCGTGTCTGCGTCTTTGTTTAGTGGTTTCCTGTTTTATTGTGAAAGTCTGTCTTATGTTAGTGTGTGCAGCTTTGCTCCCCCTGTCTCATTTTCCCTCCCAGCTGTGTCTCCCTCCTGTGTCGCGTCGTACCATCAGATTATGCCTGTGACAGTATTCAGTGTTCACTTCATGTTTTGTTTCCGTGCCAGCAATAAAGCTGAGGTTTGGAGTTGTATTCAGGGTCCTCCTCTCCCTCCGCCTGCACACAGAGCCCTGACAGATCAGATGCTCTCCTGAGAGAAACTGGGAGACGAGCGGGGATAAATCATGAACTCAAAAGCTATATAAGAATTCAAAAACACAAAACACTGGGTCACCGACCCAGGACCGTGACACGTTCCTTCATACTTGACCCTCCTCTCATTTCAGATTTTTTCAGGTCACATCGCAGGTTGGAGGCTGCTCCTGCTGCATGGCCGCTGCATGGCCGCTGCATGGCCGCTGCATGGCCGCTGCATGGCCATCTGGCCAAGCAGAGTTGCACTTTTTAAATGTCTTTTATTTTCCAGCTTTCCAGCTGCCCTCCTTCTGTGTCACACACAGGTATCTCAGGTCCCAGCAACATGATTGGATAATTAGGTCACGTGTGTGAGTAAACCTCCCCTGACACCACACCCTGAATCCATTGCTCCACCCCTCCCAGGCAGCTGAGCCACAAACCACACCCCGCCCCAAGGTCACTACCATGAGATATTTTATATTCACTGTCTTATTCTCACCGCTGTCAGATTTCTCCTCCTTGATCACTTTTAGATAAGCAGCTGGTTTTCCATCACAGTGGTACAGTCCAGAGTCAGCAAGCTGAACATCTGGAATAATCAACATCTGGCCCACAGTGGAAGCATGAGGGCAGACTATCTGTTGTTTTCCAGCAAAACTTCTGCTCCACGATGGACTTCCTGATCTTCGACCAGCTTGAGGGCATCTCAGGGTGACGTTCCTCCCCCCCACAACAGCGAGTCTCATTGTTCCTGTGCACAGTAAACATGAACATTACGGGGTCAGCACCTGTCTAAGGTTCACACACATGCATTCGGTCTGTCTTCTGACTTTCATTCTCCTCTCCAGGCTCTCCTCCACCTCTCCAGGCTCTCCTCCACCTCTCCAGGCTCTCACTGCAGACCACAGTGTCGTCTGCAAACATCAGAGTCCACAGAGACTCCGGCCTGACCTCATCTGTCAGTCTTTCCATCACTGCAAACAGGAAGGAGCTAAAAGCCGATCCCTGATGTAATCCCACCTGCACCTTCACACCCGTCTCTCTGCTCTTATACATGAGTCGCACCACCGTCACTTCTCTGCCACTCCTGTCTTCCACCTTCAGTGCACCTCTCTAAACAAAATGAAATGTTCTCGAGAGACAGAGAAACATGGTCACATGACCTCACATATTCAGACCTGAGTTCAGGGTCATAAGCCTGGGCTGATGTAACGGTCAGAGAGGCAAAGCGTTTCTAGTCTGTGCTGTTTCAGATGCTTTTTGTGGCAGGCACGCAGCTACACTTGGGCCGTGCGGCACATGTCACCTGCTCACCAGCAGAGCCACACCAGTGAGCCAACGTTCATTATGCAAATTTAGATGTACAGGAAATTTACATAACGATGCAACGTCATAAGGGTTTCTTTTGAAAAGCAGGCTTTCCCAATTATAAACTACTACTATAACAATAATTCTCGGTATGTGGAGAAGACATCGTGTCATTTCTTAACCATTTATCAGTTTTTGTAGTTGCACCAGTGCAGCCAGTTTTGGCCCAGCAGGTGATGTCAGCGGGGAAGCTAAGCTAACCTCTGACCCACACTGACTGCTCAGATGTGAGCAACATCTGACTCACAGAGACTGTTATGACCTCAGCACTGAGAAAATATCCACATCATGTTGGGAAAAACCCAACGGAAGACTGAAAAATCGAATAAGTTTGCTGTCACCTGACGGGATCACTGTGAGCGCCACAGCAGCTTTATCGTCACAGAAGTAGGTTCCCGAGTGCGAGACAGCAGCTCTGTAAATGTAGAGCGACAGGTCGTCGTATGCAGTGTACTGCTTGGTGATGTCATCGTGTCTTATTAAACGTCCGCCATCGGCTGTTAGGATCTCCTCTCTGCTGTCATTTCTCTCTCTGCTCCACGTCACTCTGCGCTCCTCGGAGAGAGGACACCTCAGAACAACGGAGCGCTCTTCTTCAGCCACTTCATGCATCAAACCTGCAAAACACAATATCATAAAAATACAAGTGAACATTTGGCTGCAGCTGGATTAAGATTCAATCTTTACTGAGGTTTTTTAAATTAAATCAGCTGCACCACACACCACTGACACAGGCTTCAATGCAAACTTATCATTAAGGTGTAAAGAACAAGTTTAAACATTTAGGTCAACATGTTCAGAATGAATGTAAACGGTTCTTACCTGCAGTGACTTTACAGCTCAGGAAAAAGGCAAAAAGACAGCAGCAGATGTTTGCTGCCATCCTGACACAGACAGAAAAGATTTAAACTCTGACTTCATCTTTTCTTCATGAGAAGAGGATCAGGAGTTATTTAGGAACGGCCTTAACACCTCTCACTGTCTTTTAATAGTGTTTCCTGTTTTGTGCGCATGAACGTGTGCAAATACAGTGTTGGTGCTAAAGGCGTTCGGGGAAGTGTGACTTCTGAAACACAAAGAGGATTTAAAGAAACCTGCATCAGAAACTGGCTGATGGCAGCAGAGACCCAGGAGCAGAGTGGGACAGGGCGCTGATGACCGGTCGGGCGGAGACGCAAATGGACCAGACGGTGTGGAAACCTCTGGTGAGACAGAGCTAGCTGCAGCTGTGCTGGACGCGCAGCGTGCTCGGGACGCTTCTCAAGCTCAGGGAGCGACGTGGAGTTTGTGGCCGGCTGGATACGCTCGCTCGAGCTCCCAGCTGATGCAGGAGGCTGAGACAGCTCGCAGCCTCCCCCATGTTACATAGTTAATGTTGGATTGCAGTCGGCACAGTCAGAGGACATATCTTACACATCGTGTTTAGACATTAAACTAAACATTACCCTCTGAACAATGTCCTGCTTCTCCTCAGTTACTTCATAGGTTAAATCTTACAAACACATTTAAACACAAAAGACAAAATGCAGTGAGCCCAGTGAGTGTGAGTGTCTGGTAGTAGGAACTCAAGCGCAGAGCCGTAGGCGTCTCCAAAAAACAGTTTATTCACAGCACCAGTATCTCTCTTTTTTTTTAACGTGTATGATATTTTTGTCATGCGATTTTAAAGCCGGTCCTACAACCGCATCCAAGAATAACATGCAGCTTATCTCAGAACTGTCGGTGAAAATTATTCTTGGAGCTAGGTTTAATTGAGCTGCATTTTAAAGAGGTGCAATTTCACAATTTGTGTATATTTTCTAAGTTCACTATTTTGTCATGTGTTGAGAAAAACAGATTTAAAAATCACACGGTCTAATATTTACATTTAGCATAACTGCAACATGCTTTTTTCTTTTTCTTTTTAAGACTTGAAATTCAAAGTTTCAGACTTGTGACTTTACTCGGACTTTTACAGTGACTTGAGACTCGACTCTGACTTGAGGATAAAGACTTGAGACTTACATGAGACTTGCAAAACAATGACTTGGTCCCACCTCTGCACTGTTGCCCCACAGCCTGATGTTCCTGATGCAACTCAGCATTCTTTCTCCTCCAAACACAACAATTAGACTTTTTACCAAAAAGATCTATTTTGGCTTCATCTGAACATATGACATTCTCTTTCTAGCAAACTTCAGACGTGCCTGGGCGTGCACCGGCTTAATCAGAGCGACACGTCTGGCACTGCAGGATTTGGGTCCCTGGCGGCTTCGTTAGCCTTTGTTACTTTGGTCCCAGCTCTCTGCAGGTCATTCACTCGCGCCCCGCGCGGTTCTGGGATCTTTGCTCACCGTTCATGTGATCGACCCCACGGGGTGAGAGCTTCCATGGAGCCCCAGGTCGACGGAGATTATCAGTGGTCTTGCTCCCACAGTTGATTTCTTCACACCAAGCTGCTTGCCTATTGCAGATTCAGTCTTCCCAGCCCGCTGCAGGTCTACAATTTTGTTTCTGGTGTCCTTTGACAGCTCTTTGGTCTTGGACATAGTGGAGTTTGGAGTGTGACTGTTTGAGGTTGTGGACATGTGTCTTTTATCCTGATAACGAGCAAAAACAGGTGCTATTAATACAGGTAACAAGAGGAGGACAGAGGAGCCTCTTACAGAAGAAGTTACAGGTCTGTGAGAGCCAGAAATCTTGCTTGTTTGTAGGCGACCAAATACTTATTTTCCACCATAATTTGCAAATAAATTCTTTAAAAATGAAATTTTTTTACTCATTTTGTCTCTCATATCCTGGAACACCACCAAGCCATTGGTTCAGGTATGTGGATGACACCTGGGTGACAATCAAATCTCAGGACGTTTCACATTTCACGGATCACATTAACTCGGTGGACCGACACATCAAATTCACCAGGGAGGATATGAACAGGGGCAGGTTAGCCTTCTTAGACTGTGAGATTTCCATCAGTAGTGGGGGACATCTACAAGCTGACGTGTACCGTAAACCTACACATACTGATCAGTATCTAAGGTTTGACTCTCATCATCCACTGGAGCTCAAACTGGGCGTCATCAGGACGCTACAACACAGAGCGAACACCATCCCCACTGACACAGCAGCCAGGGAGGCAGAAGAACATCAAGAAGGCCCTGAGTAACTGTGGTTATCCCAGCTGGACTTTTGTCAAAGCTGGGAAGGCTCCTAAAGAAAGCTCCAGCTGATCCAGGAGAGAAGGACAACCACTGTTAATGATCCAGGCACTGACCTCACAGCCCATGGTTCATTCAGTTGTGCTAGTTTCAGTTATTATGCAAATGTCCTGTTTATAAATTTTTATCATCATCCAGGTGACTTCTTAAGCCGAGGCTGAAGAAGTCACCTGGATGATGATAAAATGTTTCTGCCACTGACAACACAACGTCCAGATGAACAGAATCAACTTTTTGGGATAGAGTGCTCCCAGCTTTCTGTCGAATGGCCTTCATTGCTTGGAGAATCGAGGAGAGCATCCGGCAGGCTCTACGGGATGATAATAATAATGGATTGGATTTATATAGCGCTTTTCAAGGCACCGAAAGCGCTTTACAATGCCACTATTCATTCACACACACATTCACACACTGGTGGAGGCAGCTACAGGTGTAGCCACAGCTGCCCTGGGGCAGGACTGACAGAAGCCAGGCTGCCATATCGGCCATCGGCCCCTCTGGCCAACACCAGCAGGCGGTAGGTGAAGTGTCTTGCCCAAGGACACAACGACCAGGACAGAGAGCCCGGGGATCGAACCGGCGACCTTCCGGTTACAGATGCGCTCCCCTAACCCTGACCTCCTCCAACCTCCAGATCGCCGTTTTGTTCCCACGTTCGGGCTCACATATCTAAATTCTCCTGTCACCACAGAGCAGGTTGAACCATCGCCTTACCGAAGCGCCACTTCTGGTGGGAAACGTGCGCGGGAGTACGTCTCCGCCTGCGAGACCTGCACCAGGAGCAAAACCAGACAACTGCAGCCATTAGCCATACCTTCTTGCACTTGGTCACACATCTGTCTGGACTTCGTCACCAGTTTGCTCATCTCGGCAGGTAAATCCGTAATTCTCTCTGTAATTGATAGATTCTCCAAAGCCACTGACTTTATAGCCTTGGACAAACTCCCCACAGCTACTGAAACCGCTAAACTTCTGGTCGCTTCATCTTCAAGCGCCACAAAAGCTCAATCCGAGATCACCTCCAGCAGAGGACCCCAGTTCACATCACAGGGTTGGAAGTCATTTTGCTCTTTAGGGGACCAGGTCAGCCTCAGTTCTGGGTACCACCCTCAGACCAACGGAAAGACTTCTTAGGTTCTTAGCTTTTGTGTTCTCATGTTTATCGCAGGTTTAGTTCAGTGTGTGTTCTGTCTCTCTGTGTCGTGTCTGCGTCTTTGTTTAGTGGTTTCCTGTTTTATTGTGAAAGTCTGTCTTATGTTAGTGTGTGCAGCTTTGCTCCCCCTGTCTCATTTTCCCTCCCAGCTGTGTCTCCCTCCTGTGTCGCGTCGTACCATCAGATTATGCCTGTGACAGTATTCAGTGTTCACTTCATGTTTTGTTTCCGTGCCAGCAATAAAGCTGAGGTTTGGAGTTGTATTCAGGGTCCTCCTCTCCCTCCGCCTGCACACAGAGCCCTGACAGATCAGATGCTCTCCTGAGAGAAACTGGGAGACGAGCGGGGATAAATCATGAACTCAAAAGCTATATAAGAATTCAAAAACACAAAACACTGGGTCACCGACCCAGGACCGTGACACGTTCCTTCATACTTGACCCTCCTCTCATTTCAGATTTTTTCAGGTCACATCGCAGGTTGGAGGCTGCTCCTGCTGCATGGCCGCTGCATGGCCGCTGCATGGCCGCTGCATGGCCGCTGCATGGCCATCTGGCCAAGCAGAGTTGCACTTTTTAAATGTCTTTTATTTTCCAGCTTTCCAGCTGCCCTCCTTCTGTGTCACACACAGGTATCTCAGGTCCCAGCAACATGATTGGATAATTAGGTCACGTGTGTGAGTAAACCTCCCCTGACACCACACCCTGAATCCATTGCTCCACCCCTCCCAGGCAGCTGAGCCACAAACCACACCCCGCCCCAAGGTCACTACCATGAGATATTTTATATTCACTGTCTTATTCTCACCGCTGTCAGATTTCTCCTCCTTGATCACTTTTAGATAAGCAGCTGGTTTTCCATCACAGTGGTACAGTCCAGAGTCAGCAAGCTGAACATCTGGAATAATCAACATCTGGCCCACAGTGGAAGCATGAGGGCAGACTATCTGTTGTTTTCCAGCAAAACTTCTGCTCCACGATGGACTTCCTGATCTTCGACCAGCTTGAGGGCATCTCAGGGTGACGTTCCTCCCCCCGACAACAGCGAGTCTCATTGTTCCTGTGCACAGTAAACATGAACATTACGGGGTCAGCACCTGTCTAAGGTTCACACACATGCATTCGGTCTGTCTTCTGACTTTCATTCTCCTCTCCAGGCTCTCCTCCACCTCTCCAGGCTCTCCTCCACCTCTCCAGGCTCTCACTGCAGACCACAGTGTCGTCTGCAAACATCAGAGTCCACAGAGACTCCGGCCTGACCTCATCTGTCAGTCTTTCCATCACTGCAAACAGGAAGGAGCTAAAAGCCGATCCCTGATGTAATCCCACCTGCACCTTCACACCCGTCTCTCTGCTCTTATACATGAGTCGCACCACCGTCACTTCTCTGCCACTCCTGTCTTCCACCTTCAGTGCACCTCTCTAAACAAAATGAAATGTTCTCGAGAGACAGAGAAACATGGTCACATGACCTCACATATTCAGACCTGAGTTCAGGGTCATAAGCCTGGGCTGATGTAACGGTCAGAGAGGCAAAGCGTTTCTAGTCTGTGCTGTTTCAGATGCTTTTTGTGGCAGGCACGCAGCTACACTTGGGCCGTGCGGCACATGTCACCTGCTCACCAGCAGAGCCACACCAGTGAGCCAACGTTCATTATGCAAATTTAGATGTACAGGAAATTTACATAACGATGCAACGTCATAAGGGTTTCTTTTGAAAAGCAGGCTTTCCTAATTATAAACTACTACTATAACAATAATTCTCGGTATGTGGAGAAGACATCGTGTCATTTCTTAACCATTTATCAGTTTTTGTAGTTGCACCAGTGCAGCCAGTTTTGGCCCAGCAGGTGATGTCAGCGGGGAAGCTAAGCTAACCTCTGACCCACACTGACTGCTCAGATGTGAGCAACATCTGACTCACAGAGACTGTTATGACCTCAGCACTGAGAAAATATCCACATCATGTTGGGAAAAACCCAACGGAAGACTGAAAAATCGAATAAGTTTGCTGTCACCTGACGGGATCACTGTGAGCGCCACAGCAGCTTTATCGTCACAGAAGTAGGTTCCCGAGTGCAAGACAGCAGCTCTGTAAATGTAGAGCGACAGGTCGTCGTATGCAGTGTACTGCTTGGTGATGTCATCGTGTCTTATTAAACGTCCGCCATCGGCTGTTAGGATCTCCTCTCTGCTGTCATTTCTCTCTCTGCTCCACGTCACTCTGCGCTCCTCGGAGAGAGGACACCTCAGAACAACGGAGCGCTCTTCTTCAGCCACTTCATGCATCAAACCTGCAAAACACAATATCATAAAAATACAAGTGAACATTTGGCTGCAGCTGGATTAAGATTCAATCTTTACTGAGGTTTTTTAAATTAAATCAGCTGCACCACACACCACTGACACAGGCTTCAATATGCAAACTTATCATTAAGGTGTAAAGAACAAGTTTAAACATTTAGGTCAACATGTTCAGAATGAATGTAAACGGTTCTTACCTGCAGTGACTTTACAGCTCAGGAAAAAGGCAAAAAGACAGCAGCAGATGTTTGCTGCCATCCTGATACAGACAGAAAAGATTTAAACTCTGACTTCATCTTTTCTTCATGAGAAGAGGATCAGGAGTTATTTAGGAACGGCCTTAACACCTCTCACTGTCTTTTAATAGTGTTTCCTGTTTTGTGCGCATGAACGTGTGCAAATACAGTGTTGGTGCTAAAGGCGTTCGGGGAAGTGTGACTTCTGAAACACAAAGAGGATTTAAAGAAACCTGCATCAGAAACTGGCTGATGGCAGCAGAGACCCAGGAGCAGAGTGGGACAGGGCGCTGATGACCGGTCGGGCGGAGACGCAAATGGACCAGATGGTGTGGAAACCTCTGGTGAGACAGAGCTAGCTGCAGCTGTGCTGGACGCGCAGCGTGCTCGGGACGCTTCTCAAGCTCAGGGAGCGACGTGGAGTTTGTGGCCGGCTGGATACGCTCGCTCGAGCTCCCAGCTGATGCAGGAGGCTGAGACAGCTCGCAGCCTCCCCCATGTTACATAGTTAATGTTGGATTGCAGTCGGCACAGTCAGAGGACATATCTTACACATCGTGTTTAGACATTAAACGAAACATTACCCTCTGAACAATGTCCTGCTTCTCCTCAGTTACTTCATAGGTTAAATCTTACAAACACATTTAAACACAAAAGACAAAATGCAGTGAGCCCAGTGAGTGTGAGTGTCTGGTAGTAGGAACTCAAGCGCAGAGCCGTAGGCGTCTCCAAAAAACAGTTTATTCACAGCACCAGTGCACGATATATACAGTGGAGGGGAAGCTCTCTCACACTCGCTCACGTCTTCTTGCCCAAACTCACACACGTTCACACGACTGGGGGGTCACAGGTACGGGGAGTCTGTCGCAGAAGAGAGGGAAGTCACACACGAATCACAGGTTCACAAGCGCTGGGAGAAACACTAACGTCTGTAGTACAACCACCCAGCGACGAGAGGATCTGTGTTCAAGCCTCAGATAGTGCTCCAGGTGATGACCGCTGATTGTTGACAGGTGTGTGGGCCAAGGGCGGAGCCCACAGTGAGCTCCGCCCAGGCAGAGAGAGAGAGAACCAAACAGCACATGTAGCCCTGTGGGGCCGGCCGGGCGCGGAGACCATGACAGTGAGAGCCTATAACAACACAGCAGGAGATGTTCACTGTCACCATCGTTCTGTACTCAGATTAGCATCTGAGCTAATACTTTGGGCTGAGAGCAGGAACTCTGTGGTTATGTGTGGGTTTGCCCACACATAACCACAGAGAAAAAGGTGCTTTATATTCAAGGTAAAAAAGACCCCTGTCCATCCACAACTCAGCTAAATTAAAGTTCGTGGATGGTTTTGTTTCTTATTTAATACCTCAAAGAGCAGCTCTGCTAACTCAAACTGACTCATGTGTTATTTTTACTTTAAGCTGAAAACAGGAACTGTGCGGTCGTGTTTGCACGTCCTCAGCACACCACAGTGTCTTTTTAGAGTAAACGCATACAGATGATGTGTGAACAGCCATCAGACACATGCAGTGTGAAGTTTCCTCCGTCTAGTCTGGGCAAGTAAAGAATACAACAGAATTCAAATGTCTGCAACAGCAGAAGATGAAGAGAGGACTCCTCAGCTGTGTGGCACATCGATCATGCAGGTGCACTGAAACCTGCTCCTCACATACAAGATATTGAATATTCAGGCCCATCTTATCTTAATGACCTTGTAGTACCATATCAGCACTTTGCTCTCAAAACATATAGCTGTAGGCTGCTGGGAGATTCCCATGATGCACTGGGAGTTTATTGTTCAGTCACTATGTATTTATAGACCTCTCTGCATTAGTTATTTTTAATCTGTGGCAGTCTTCACAGCGTGTCTTTGTCCTGTCTTCCTCCTCTCGGCCCCAGATGGTTTCTCTGTATTAGTGTAGTCTTTATCTTACCATACAGAGCATGCTGAGGTGCCTGCTCTTGTGATTTGTTGCTACAATGAAATTGAATAGAATTTGTCTAACAGCAGGAAAGCACCACAGCATGGCTGTGAAAGCAGGGTTACGTCTATGAGACAGCACCGTAATATTTTGCCACTAAAATCAATAATTATTGTAACAAATAATTGGAATCAAATATTGATGAAAATAATTGTGATAATTAATTTGGTCATAGTGATGAAGTCCAAATTACAAGGCTGCCGGTCCAGACGGTGTAGCTGAATGTGAAAAGGAAGCACGGCATCATCAACACCTGCCGGAGTCACACATGCCCACTCAGCCCTCGTGGAAGAAGTGTTGAAAAGGTGGAGCTGAAAAGCTGAGAGAGGAAAGCATGAACAGAAACTAAAAATAGATGCAGCTGCTGCATCGTGAACACTAGTACCACCAACAACTAACCAACCAGCCTCAGGGTGCTGGACTTGGGGTGAAACCCTCCATGCATGGTCAAGAGCTTCCTGGTACTTGATGTCAGTGGCTTCTATCTCCTTCTTTGGGCAGCTTATTATCCCAGCAGGGTACCTGATCACATCAGGGCAGGTGTTGATGGCCCGGGTCTTGTTCTTATCGTTCAGCTGACTCCTCAGGACTTGCCTGACCCTCTGCAGGTACTTGGTGGTTGCGGTTTTTCTAGCGACCTTTCCATGACTCCCACAAGACTTTTTTGAGCACGTTGTAAGCTTTGTGCTTCTTTGGAGATCCCAAAGATAATTACTGGTGGATTTGGATCAATCTTGGTTTTAAGAATATTAGACAGACAGGTGAAAATGTCACACCAAAAACCCTGAAGCCTCGGACAAAGTGCATTTCCATAATGTGTCATACGTTTTTCACAGAGGGGGGAGCAGTCTGGGTACATTTTGTGAAGTCTTCCCCTTGAGTAATGTAACCTGTGTACAATCTTATACTGAATTAGGCAGTGACGGGAATTAATAAAAAGCCAAAAATCTTCTGATAGGGAAATCCCAAATTCCTTTTGGATGAATGAGTTGAAGGTGCACTCATCTCCTGTAGTGCGTCATAGAATAATGAGATTCTCTGTTCGGACCCCGGCTATCACTAAGGCTTCTATCCAAGGTGTCGGACAACATGCTTTCAAACTGCGGCAGACGTGTGCGGATATTATTCCGTAGTTGAAGATATCTAAAAAAGATGGCTGCGCTGTAGTCCAAATCTATCTGTTAACTGTTGAAATGACATGAAGGCATCGTTTGAATACAAGTCTTTTAATTTACGAATTCCCAGTTCCTGCCACACGTTGAAAGCTCCGTCTGCACATGATGGAAGGAAAGAGTGGTTAGCTGTAACATACTCATCGATAGTGGTGGTATGGATCTCTGGTTATAGTTATAGTGTGCACTTGTCAAGGGAGTAGAAGTAATATTCCACCATCACAGTAAGGAAGGCAGTCCTGCAGACCGTGGGGGATAACGCTGTATCATCAAGTAAGAGGGAACTTATTCTTAAATTTGATGCCCAGTAATAATGCAGGCAGTTAGATAGTGCAAGTCCTCCAAGGCCTTTACAAAGATGTTCTTTCTTTATTCTATGCGTTTTCCAGTTCCATATAAACTACATAATAATAGCATCCAACTTTTTGAAGAAAGATTTGGGCAAAAAAATCGGGATATTTTGGACCAAGTACAGATATTGCGGGAGAAAGACCATCCTTACTGAGTTCACTCTTCCTATAAATGAGATAGGGAGCGTCCTCCAAAACTGGATGTTGTTTTCTAGCTTCTCCAGTAGAGGGAGACAGTTTTCTTTCACTAGTGAACTACATTTTCTTGTTATTGAGATGCCCAGATATGTAATTTTTTCACAAGTTATTTTAAATGGTAGAGATGTAAGCCACTCACTACTTTCAGATTTGATGGGCAATACTTCACTTTT